AGTTCAGTAATTTGTGCTTGCGAGAGCAACAAGAAAATACACAAACTCACAAACTTTAAGATTTATAATATTATAAGAAGTGTTTGGGAGGCCAGTTACATAATCCAAATGTGGCAACAATTCCTTATAATAATTCCAGTTATTGTCAAAAACTCATTTATACATGAGCAAAAATGGAAAATTATTATTCCATATATGAGTAATTTAATTCCATACCATATATGGCCATATATAGACCATAATTCCATATATGGAGGATATTTATGGCCATATATGGGCAATAATTTCATATATAGAAAACATGTATGGCCATATATGGACAATAGTTTCATATATAGAAAACATGTATGGCCATATATGGCCAATAATTCCATATATATACTACATATATGACCATATATGGACACCACCATATATGGATACAACCATATCTGGCCATATATGCTTCCATATACGGTCATAAAAAACCATATATGGCTTTATAAAAACATATATGGAATTTTGATATGGCCATATATGGCCAGAAATTACTTTTTTATAGGGGTTTACAAAACAAACTACTATGTTGTTGTGTTTACTTTTCTTTGTTTACACCTATTTATTTAGCAATTGATGCAGTGAAATTGACATAAGGGATGTGTGTAGACGATTCGTTTAATGATGTCAGGACACCAACGTTATAATTATGTGCACTGTGAATTTTATTGGATGTTTTTGTTATATTTTAGGGAGTTTCAATTCAGACCTACTGAAAATTGTGTATAGTATGAGTAATTGTATTGTGGTGATATTGATTATGGAAGAGGCAGGTATGCGATGGAAGGTTATATCATTGACTAGGCCTATACACTTCTCAATTGATAATTACTCTTTCTACTGTAGGCTGCAATAAAATTTTTCTTTATACGTGTAAACTAGCTGTTCTGAATTATAGGCCTACACGGGTTTAACTGACTACTCCCGTACGTAGGACGGGCTAACAGCTCGTAATAAATTAAGAATGTTTTATTACTCTTTATTAGCCATAAATATCTAAAATAGGCTATATTGAGTTAAAAACTTATTTAATCTCCAGGCATTTTGTGAGCGGATGATGATGTGTGTTTATTATTTCCAACTTAAAATGTATTTTGAAGACTAATAATAATAGTTAAGTTACCTTTTATTTTGTTGACTGCCTTTAGTTATGTATATATTTGATTGATAGTTCTGAAGTTCATTAGTTCACAAATGCTCATTCAGCCACAAGGTGGGGCATCTTCAGAATTATGTGACACTAAACTACATCCTAAAAATTATAGCTATTTACATTACAAGTGTAGTAAGAGCGTTTTTACATCACGCAAGTGGAAGCGAGTTGCATAATTCACCTAAGTGATGTAAACACGCTCTTGCGTAACGTGTAACGTACCTACAAGATTTTACCTGACCCGACAATATACATTGGTTTATGTACAATATTTTCCATTATCTATTTCACTCATCTTCTAACAGTAACGTTCTTTTACAAACAAAAGATAGGTTAGGAAAATACTTTAAAGCATAACAATAACATTCAAGTGCACAGCTGATTTCTAGCGTTGAACGTAGTTTGCTCCATAGAGGTATATTTTTCAAGTTAAGCACTCAATGTTATTTAAATGGGTTTCTTTACATCACCGAGTGAGTTTTTGATACTTTACATCACTCGAGAAGTAAGGAAGTTGTATACATCACGCTTGGGATAGGGAAGTTTAACATGGCGGGCGGGTTAGGTAAAATATGTTTACATACCTTATGTCCTCAATCATATTGTAGTCTCGGGCGATTAGTTTCAAAACGGGTCTTTCATTTTTAAGCCCTTGTTGTCTCACATAAAATGATTTGCACATAATGTCGCCGTCAATAGGCTACACACAAATTTAACCTCAAGACAACAAAGTTAAATGTAAAATTTGTGTCAAAGGCTTGAAAATTAAACAATTGTTTCAAAACTAGTCACCCCAGACTTCAATAGAATTGATGACGTAAGGTACTTAAACCTATTTAATTTGTCATAAATCAATCCTGGAGGTAATGCTGAATAAATCCTAATAATACCTATACAAAAGGGTGTGAATAACTGCTCTGTTTATCTATAAACAGTTTTAAATATAAAATGAAACTATCATTATGTTACATAGTTTTTACTTCATTTCAAAATCATAAACAACACAAAACAAAAACAAACAAACAATTAAGTCAGCTGAAAACTATTTAATAGCTATTTACCTTACAAGTGTAGTAAGAGCGTTTTTACATCACGCAGGTGAATGTTGTGCAACGAGCGGAAGCGAGTTGCATAATTTACCTAAGTGATGTAAACACGCTCTTGAGTAACGTGTAACGTACAAGATTTTACCTGACCCGACAACATACAGGAGGCTACGAACAGTATTTTTCACTATTCATTTCACTCATCTTCTAACAGTAACGTTCATTTGCAAACTAAAGCTAGGTTAGGAAAATTCTTCAAAACATAACAATAAAATTCAAGCCCACAGCTGATTTCTAGCGTTGAACGTCGTTGGCCGTTGGCTCGAGAGGTATATTTTTTAAGTTAAGCACTCAATGTTATTTAAATGGGTTTCATTACATCACCGAGTGAGTTTTTTTCAACTTTACATCACTCGAGAAGTAAGGAAGTTGTATACATCACGCTTGGGATAGGGAAGTTTAACGTGGCGGGTTAGGTAAATTAATATATCTGTTTTAAGACAGTACAAACTCTTCCCCCATGAAATAATTCAAAGGATACTGTGAATTCTATATCTTCCGAAGTTGATTTAGGTGCCGTCTCCATAGCATGTCATCAACAGCAACGGAGTACATCACTCTTCCAATTCTTTTTTTTATTTCACCTTTTCTCCAAACAATTTTGCCATTTTTCACATTTCTCTTACCAAAACATGTTCACCTTCTTTGAACTCTCTTATGGTTCCTTTGAAAGATGTACGTCCTTGTTGGGCTGTGCGAAAGGTAGGTTTCAACGTTGACTCTAGTGAAGGTCTCAACACATCTAACAAAATCCGCAGTTTTCTTCCAAACATCAACCCCGCCGGACTTTTTGTTGTTGTCGATGTCGGTGTTCGCCGGTGAGATGAGAGAACTTTAAGAAGTTTTTCTTTTAGGTTTCCCTTTTGTGTCCACTTCTTTTCTTATGTACCTTTTCACTTCTTGAACATAGTGTTCTGCTTGGCCATTGCTCTACGGATTATAGGGTGCAATGGTTCTATGAATAATTCCTTTTCTAACCTGTCGATTTCATCATTGACTTTATCCCTTAAAGCAAAAGGAACAGGGCGAGGTGGCAAGTAAACTGGCTTAGAGTTTGGCTTCAAACTCTAATGAGATTCATAGTTCGGTTACCCACTCCTGGTAAGAAAACATTTGGAAATTCGCTCTTAAGATTCTTTATAAACTGGTCTTTCTTATGATCTGTATGATCTTCTGATACCTGACTTAATGAAGGAAGCTCAATTTTGAACAACTTTAACCACTCCCTTCCAAAAATACTGTCTACATTTCCCCGAATAACATACAGGTTTCCCACAGATATTTGATTTTCATAGCAAACAACGACAGTCGCAAACCCTACCGGGAGAATTATTTCTCCTGTTTAGGCTCTTAACGGCATTCTTGTTCTATTTAGAATCTTATCTGGAAATAATTTCTTAAACAGATGCAGCGGTATAGTACTGATCGCAGCAACAGTATCTAACTCAAAAGAGTTAGGCTTATCGTCAATGGTGCACTGTAACATAATCTTTCCCAGCCTGTTGACCATTTCGGGTTGATATGCATCATCCGAGAGCTTGGACAATTTAGCACATTTCTTCTTTCTATCTACAATGGATAACATTGACATAAAAGGTGGATTTTGACACTCATCTTCCTATTCATACTCCGAAGCGTCATCAGCTTGTCGCATGTTTTGTTTCTTTCTCCGACAAACTTTTCTGAGATCTCCCTTCCTCTCACAATTCCAACATTTAATATCTGCTGGAATTTTGCACGCACTTATGTGATGGTGTCCCCCACACCTGAAACATATGTTACTACCCTTTCTTCCTTGCAAATATCCAGTGCTTTTCTTCCCTCGAATCTGAAATTGTTCTCCAACTTTTGATTATAAATTTGATTCTTGGATTTTGGTTGTTTCACTTTTGATTTGCTATTTACTATTTAGCTATTAGCTATTTGCTATTTAAGTTACTTGCTATTTCAAGACATTGGTTAAACGTTTTATTTTCATGAATTTCAATTAATCTAGACAGCAACTTTCCATCATGAATTCCCAAAACAAACTGTTGCCGCAGGTGAACGTCAGATGTTGATGCATTACATTTTGGACATTTAAAACCACATTTACTGGCTAAGGTTTTCAGATCTTTGGCGAAGCTGCCTACCGACTCACACGGATTCTGGAGTCGTTTAGTGAACTTATGTTGTTCTGCAATAATAAATCCCTTAGGTTCCAGTAATTATTGTAAAGCTTCATAAATTTGGTCATAACTTTTATCCTCAATGTCACATGGGCATAGATTAATTCTCAGGCCGTGAAATACTTTAAGGTCCTAACAAATTGATCAAATACTGCTTTTTCTTTAATTCTGACGTGATTCTGTTTAGGTCGAAAAAGTTGTCTAACCTTACCATGTATGAACTCCATGTCTCATTGTCCTCATCGAATTTATCAAAATTAGAACAGAAAATAGATTGACTGGGTGTTAATATACCTTCTTCTTCTAGCTCCTGGTGTCTCTCACCCTTCCTCATCCTCGTCGCCATTATAAACAGTTTTAAATATAAAATGAAACTAAAATTACGTTACATAGTTTTTACTTCATTTCAAAATCATAGACAACACAAAACAAAAACAAAATAAACAATTAAGTCAGCTTAATATATCTGTTTTAAGACAGTACATTATCACACCACTGTTGATGCTACATATTTAAAAAAACCTGTTTTTGTTTTAGATCATCAACAAGCAGTGGTGCTAGACCACGGTCCACTCCCACTCCTTCCCACACTGGCACTCCTAGAACACCTCGGACACCAAAAACATTGTCAAGTTTGGAGAGTGCCCAAAACATGATTATTGGTATCCATCTTCTAAACCCGTTTTAAATGTCAAAATACAACCACTAAGCTACATAGTAATCATTAAAATATATAGTATTCACTTGTCATAAATTGTTAGTCATAGGAGTCCACAGTTTTAAGACCTTTTGACTCAAAGGTTGCAGTGTCTACAAAAGACAACTATCTTGCTCTTGTCAACCTGTATAGTTTCTCTTAGTGATATGTTTGTTGTGATACATTTTATACATCTATTTCCCTTAAATATAAATGGCAAACTATTCTTTAATTTATAATAATATTATTTTGTTTATTAAGTTAGAAGAAATCTCATGATACTTACTGAGCTTTTCTACCACAAAGGCAATACAATACTGCAAAAGAAGTATTGACTTTTGAACAGTGGCGGATTATGACCTCAGCAGGCCCCTATCTTGCTCTTGTCAACCTGTATAGTTTCTCTTAGTGATATGTTTGTTGTGATACATTTTATACATCTATTTCCCTTAAATATAAATGGCAAACTATTCTTTAATTTATAATAATATTATTTTGTTTATTAAGTTAGAAGAAATCTCATGATACTTACTGAGCTTTTCTACCACAAAGGCAATACAATACTGCAAAAGAAGTATTGACTTTTGAACAGTGGCGGATTATGACCTCAGCAGGCCCCTAGGCACTTTTAAACACCCGCCCCCCAAAAAAACCAAGAAAGGTCGGAACTTACAATTAAAACTCAGTTAGTGGGTTAGGGTTAGTAAACTTGTTATTTAGCCTACATATTTTTTAGTAATGACATTATATTTGTTAAATGTTAATTTATATTATGATATTTCCTAACAAATTAACTTTTCTTGCTTTTAATACAGAAAACTCATCTATGATATTATCAAAAGTTCATTTAACATTTTGGCATTTGCAGCAGTCTATTATCAAAAGTTCATTAAACATTTTGGCATTTGCAGCAGTCTGTCTATGTCGTATGCTGCCATAATATAATGGCCTTGGGGAAAAACTTTTTTTAATTTTTGGTCTGCGGCCCCTGAGACCTGAGGCCCCAAGACAGTTGCCTATCGTGTCTAATGGGTAATCCACCACTGCTTTTGAATCATTTCCAACATATTGCAATGAAGATATGACAATTCTATGTTTTTTCCTTACTATTGAACCGCTTGCTCTTCAATCCAGTTTCAGTCACTATAGGCAAATTTTAATGGCGATATCCTGCCCCTCCTCCTGTGATAATGTTGCGGTGAACTTTTTCCTTTAGAGACATTATACCAACTATATAATGGATTATCAAGACAAAAATATTTATTCTTCAGTTTTATGTTAGTGAAAATAATGTTTGTTTCAGCAATAACTGAAGGACGAGGATTAGCTAGAGGAGAAGTGGGTATTGCAGCATTGGATATTCACAGTCCCTATCTCATAATGAGTCAAATAAGTGATTGCCAGACATACACCAACACCATGTCCAAAATAAATGTATTACATCCAACTGAGGTAGGTTGCACTGTTCTTTGGCCGGCCATTTACTTTACAGCATACAATAAACATAAAAATAAAAATAAAAAAAACATTAACAGTAGTAAAAGTTAATATTGTGAATTTATTTTGTTGTTTATTTCCACCTGTGTCTGGAATATTTTGTTTATTGATTAACTAGCAGAGTACCCGTCCTTTGTACGGGGTTGGCATATAAGTATAAATTGCTTATTTCAGTTATACTCAAGCATTGCCTTTGCAATGGGGGGAGAACGCAGTTTGATACAATTCACTTCTTTAAATTTACAGTTTACTATAGTATTACATATCTACCATAGCCATCATTTTCTACCAATTCACCTAAACAATAAAGATAAAAAAAATTATAAAAATTCGCGAAATATCACAAATGGTTCATGAAATTAAAAACATAAACATTACTGTAAAAATTCCTACTTTGACAGTTCTCATTGTGTATCACAGTTTTTTGTTGCTGCTTAGTTAAAATTAGCTATCCTACTAATATTATAAATGAGAAAGTTTGGATGTATGGATGTATGGATGTATGTTTGTGACAAGTGAACGCGAAAAATACTGGTCGGATTGGGCTGAAATTTGGCATGATGATAGCTCACATTCCCGATTAACATATAGGCATATTCTTATTTCAAAAATCCTTTCGGGCTCCGCCCCAGTGGCTCTGGAGTTTCCCATGTTAACCTTATGAGAAATGAAATTATTGAATCTTAACAGCTGTTTCAATTAAACAAGTTGGTTCTGTTCTGTGATGTTCAATAGCATTAAAGTTACAAAAATTACCAACAGGGTGCAGCACTATTATTTCTTTTACATTTATGACAACAGCTAATTTGCAACCAAAAGGTGAGTGAGCGTAGCGAACGAACTTCAACCTGGAGGCGAGTTAGCGTAGCGAACGAGCTAACCTGAAGGCAAGTGAGCGCAGCGAACGAGCTCCAACCTAAAGGTGAGTGAGCGTAGCGAACGAGCTCCAACCTAAATGTGAGTGAGCGTAGCGAACGAGCTCCAACCTAAAGGTGAGTGAGCGTAGCGAACAAACTTCAACCAGGACGTGATTGAGCCATGCGAACGAGATAATCTTGAAAATTAAGAAGTTAAACGGGGCAAAGCCCGCGGGTTACAGCTAGTGTTTTCATAAATGCAAAAAAATAATAGTGCTGCACCCTGTTGGTTGATGTTATAACTGTTTAATGCTTTTCATATCATAGAACCAACTTTTTTAGTTGAAACAGCTGACTAAATTCTTTAAATCCCTTTAAATATGAATACTCATAAGGTTAACATTGGGAACTACAGAGCCACTGGGTCGGAGCCCGAAAGGATTTTTGAGATAAAAATATGCCTATATGTTAATCGGGAATATGAGCTATCATCATGCCAAATTTCAGCCCAATCTGTCCAGTAGTTAATGCGTGATTGAGCTTCAAACAAACAAACACACAAACTTTCACATTTATAATATTAGTAAGATAAGATAAGATTTCAGCAAGAACACCTATTTAACAACACACAACCAAAATAAATGTTTCAGATTCTAGTTCCAAATACATTCATCGATACTCAGGAGAAGAACAAGTTGTTCACACTGATTCATGAAACATTTCCTCAAGTGTTAATAACAACAGTTCAACGCCGGCACTTCAGTGACAACATAGGACTGCAGCTAGTCCAGTCTCTGTGCCTCACTGAGTATGCGAATGTAGAAATGGTGGTCCGTCAAAAGTAAGCCACTTTTGAATTGATCAATACAAACTTACATATAGCTACATATAACCATTGACTATTAGATACTGAAGTAGGCGTCCCATCTATATGGACCAACTGTTGCCAATCTTTTGTTAAAAAAGAACGTAGTTGTGTGAGCCAGTCATAGAATGCGCTAGCGACTAAAACTCTTATTGTATACCTTATTTTTTGTTTCTGGCCAAGTGTATGGGTCATAACAGTTGTGATAGTTCAGAATAAGTAATTCCATTACTTTGAATTGGTAAAAACGTTTGTGTTTTCGACAGAAATCAGTAGTTTAGATCAGCACAATCTGTCGGTGGCTCACATCAACCACGACGTTTTTGGTTAAAATACTGGCTACAAATTTAATTTGGGGATGGAATGTCTAATATAACTTACTACAACGACCAATTGATGGACACAGGTAATTTAATCTTTTTTGATTGAACTTAGATATAGCAATGAGCAGTTACGACTTGCTAAAATCTCTAATTAAGTTAGTGAGTGAATCTATATCGAACTTAATAAATCAGCCAGGGGTCTGTTTTATAACAATAGTACAATACTAATATTAGTAGTAAAAAATAGTTTACAAGTTACAAGTTACAAACTACTAATGTACAGTATTAGTGTTTCATAACAAAAATTATAATTGTTAATAAAACTAGCTGAATTTTAAGAGGCATGTTTTTTAAGTAAGTACAGTTTTAAAATTTCTCCGTTCCAGCCCTGCGATTGGCATTTTCGACATTTGCGCTGTGTATGGGCATCTACTGGTATGATCTAGCCAGAAATTCGAGAACAATCGGCCGTGTTTACATCCGGTTTTAAGCATTCAAAATGGTGCCTCCAATTGAGACTGCCGCCGACTGTGAAGTGGACGTTTTAATACGATTTTTAAGTGCTAAAGGTGTGAAAGCCATTGAATATCATCGACAGATTAGTGAAGTGTATGGCGAGAACATTATGAGTGACGGAATGGTATGCAAGTAGGTAAGGGCATTTTAAGACGGCCCTACCATCGTTCATGATGAGCAACGCGCTGGGTACGGGGACAGTACCTAATGACGCCGCCCAGTGCGTTACTCATCATGAACGTTGGTGGGGCCGTATTTAAATGCCCTTATCCACTTGCGTACCATTATGCCACTTATAATGTTCTCGCCGTACACTTCAGTAATCTGTCGATGATATTCAATGGCTTTCACACCTTTAGCACTTAAAAATCGTATTATAGCGTGCACTTTACAGTCGGCGGCAGTCTCAATTAGAGGCACCATGTCTCTTCAACCTGACCGATTTTCATGATTGAGGTATCAAATTGAAGGTATGCACGCAAAGATTTCACATAAAGTATCGGCACATATTTATCTACTGAATCACTCGACCAAAAACATAAATTTGATTTATTTTTGAATTCTTACTTCAATTTTAAGACGTATTTCAACAGTTATACAGTTATACAATCATATAAATTTTGGTCTAAGAACCTCCAGTGAAATACCGGCTTTCATTTAAGCTATTAGTTATTCAAATTCCACGAGTTTCAAGCAAACGCAAGGAAAATTATATTTTATAAGGGTTATCTATGATTAAAAATCAATAGCTTCAGTATTGTTTATGTTTTTTTTATATGTTTTAGACTCAAAATAATCAGTAAATTATAGGCTTTAATTTGACAATAATTATGGTCAATTTTGAAAATTTTGCCCTTAGGGGTAGCGGGCGTAGGGAGTAGATCAAAATTTTCAAATGACAAGTATAGTCGAGTTTGGTATCATTTTACAGGTCTTGAGGAAACATAAACATTGACATAAAGAAAACCAAAATCGGCTCACTAATAACAAAATGGCGTCCTAAAATGTTTCAAATCCAAATAACCATGAGGGTAGCAAAAAAATTAACTTGCACCCTCTTTAACTTTTTAACTATTTGAGATATTTGAAATCGGTTTGCGGGAACTTGTTTGGATATGAAGGGCTACAATAATTATGGTCAGTTTTGAAAATTTTGCCCTTAGGGGTAGCGGTGGTAGGGGGTAGCTCAAAATTTTCAAATAGCAAGTATAGTCGAGTTTTCATTTTGTAGGTCTTGACGAAACTCATGGTTTTTGGAATTCAAAATTGACCATAATTATTGTAGCCTCTCATATCTAAGAAGGTTGCCGCAAAACGAGTTCAAATATCTCAAATGGTTGAAAAGTTAAGGGGGGTGCAAGTTACTTTTCAGCCACCCTGTATAGCTTGTTGTTAATAGTGAATTGCATTTTCACATTGCTTTTTACAGTGATATTGAGTTATGTGGCTTAATCTTTTGTCTCGTCCGTTAGCCCCACCCTTTATTTTGACGTGTGTTTAGGGCATGGAGTGTGTGTTTTCTCATGTACTGTAATATTTAATTTTAGTAATTTTGTATAGTAGTCAAACAAAGCAAATTGTTTGAGTGATTTATAAGTGAATCAGTAAATGACTTCACTGCCGTTCCTCACGGCAAACACATCCTCTTTGCTTATGATTTAGGTGCATCCCATAATTTGATAACATCACTTTATGATGAGTTTTTGTTTACATATTTTTTGTGTTATTAAAAAAAGTATGGCCTATTGACATTCAATGTAAATTTCATCACAAAAAATATATAGGTCTGCATAAACAATTTTATTTTTATCAACAGTTTAAGTGTTAAACAGCAGACAGAGACAAATATCAAAATATTGTGTGTGAACCATTTAAATATTGACAAACTTCTCAAAATAATAGTTGTCTGCAATTTACATCACTCCAAAGTTTATATAAAATCTCTTTTGTCTTTACCTATTTCTTTTACAATATTCATGTTATATTTAGCCCATTTATAAAAAAGCTGATGGTATCGTATCTGTATAATATCAGTGTCCAAATCATTGTTCCCCATCTCCAGGTTGTTTTATAAGATTGGCAAACTCTAAATGAGAATAGGTCAAATGTTTACTGTTGTTTCACTAAGTGTGATGAATTAGATACATCCAATCCTAGAGTTCATTATAGGCCTATTACTGTTTATTTTTGCTCAATCAATAATTACAAAACTAAATAAACAAATAAGAATCTCGCCTGAAAGTTAAAATACTTCAAATTAAAAACAAATAAATTAACAGCTATCTTCAATATTATTATTCCATAAGGTTAACATGGCAACTTTAAGGGCCACTATGGAGCAAAGCCCTTGCCATAAGCTCATTTTAGGGTTAGCACAACTTCAAAGTGAGATCTTGAAAATGACTGATGTAGGTAGTGCCCCTCAACCTTGTGAAGTGTAGAAAAATACATTCAGAACTAGTTGAATTTAGTCTGACTAGAACCACCCCCTTAGATTAATGGAAAAATAACATAAACTTTTGAAAGAACGGAAAATCAAATGTTTACCGTATATTAAATATTATTATGTTTACAGATTCTATGCACTGTCTGCCACTTCTGCACTTTTGAAATATATAGAGTTTCAGAAAAACAAGATATTTATGCCCAAATCCCTTAGAATAGAATACCATTCTCCTGAAAATGTCATGTCTATTGGTAAGCAGCTTATAACTTATAACTAAGTAAGATGCTTTTGGAATCTCTCTGCATGGTTCAATTTATATTTCCAGTGGTTGCCTGAAGTTTAGCACTCCACTTCTGGTGGCAATAGCTCAAGCTCAGACAATGTTATACATACACATATGGTACCAACCATTTTTTAACCGACTTCCCCACTACCAACAAAGGAGGAGGTTCTCAATTTGTTTGTGGCGATGTTTTTTTTTTTTCTATGTATGTTCACCAATTTCTCTGTGATTCTTTTACCGATCAGTGTGGTTCCACCACCAAAATAACCAGGAGGATTTCTATTTGGTACCTTATATATTATGTTTAAGTATAATATTTGTTTCGGTGAAATATTCTGAAAACCTTAAATATTCAACATTTGTTTTGTTTACATTTGTGCATATTGTTTACATTTGTGCAGAGAAGGCAATAAATAATAATAACATTCCTACAGCTGTTAGTTGAAACCATTTAAATGAAGCTAGAGACAATTCTTAATGAAACAGTTGCTTCATACTGATCAATAAACTATTTCTTGCCATGAAGCCTTTGAATTACATTGAGAAAAATGCATTTTGTTTTGGTTACTATAAAAAATGTATTTTAACGTTTGACCTGATTTGTGTATACAGTAATTCTGTTATTAGTATTGGATATTCTGACTTACAAAAACATATATGTTTCAGTGAATAGCTGTATGATATTGACAAATAAAGGTGTATTGTGAAAACCAAAGCATTCGTAAAACAATTCTAAATATAAATTAAATGCAATTATTCCTTGCACCACTTTTAGCTGAACCAATCTTTCATATACATATTTCATTTGCAGATGTGGAATGTTTATTAATATTCTCTACCCAGTTACTATATCAGATCAATACTATTATGCCTGCTTCGGAAAGTCCTAGAGGAAGATGATTTGCAATTTCGACTAGGCTATATCTTGAGCAAACAAAACCCCCTACATGACTTACACCACTTTAAGCTGAACCAATCTTTTATATAATATTTTCCAAAGGTACTATACGTGTTAACAACCAATTTTCCACTTTTGAGAGATTTTTTAGTGCTGGTAGCTGAGGAATAACTTTCATTCCAAAAGGCTTGAGACGTTACTGCATTTCTTTTTATAATGTAGAAGTACACCGATCGTAGGAAACGATAATGTCTGACATGTCAATGTATCTAGAAAAGACAATTAGTTTTTCATTAGGCCTAATGTAATGGACAACTCTTTCCTTCTTAAGGAATATCTAAAAATGTTTATTTTCATACCCATTGATTATGTAACCTGAACAGGTGACTCAAGCAGTTTTAAAATAATGATTGTTCTGTGGAACTTTTTATTGTGTCAAACAGTTTTGCTTATCAAAAATCCTCAAGTAATTAATATATAAAAAATTATACAGTCACTAAAAATCATGAAATAATTTATTTTTGTAAAAAAATACAACCGACTTCAAACGCTCTAAAAAGAATGAAATAATTTCAATAAAATAAACTTTTGTATTAGGCAAGCTCACGTATTTCAAGTCGGCGCGGCTCAAACTGCAAATATGATTGAAACTAAATATTGTGTGTGTATTTTGAAAATTAATAAATTGTAGCTGGATAACATAAATATATAAAAAAAACATACTGAACTGTTTCGTTTATATATTAAAGGAAATATCTTCTTGTATTTTATGTTTAGGCCTACTTCAGAATAAATGCATTATGAAAATAACACACACAAATGTTCTATATGAATAGGAAAATAATTTTGTTTGATATTATGATAGGGAAAAGAAGCTAGTTTAGTATTAAAACGTTACTTTTCCAATTAAGAAACATTTAAATGCGTTATACGCTTTTTAAAGATACTCGTTAATACCACTATAATGCCGATCTCTGATTACGGTAATAAAATAACACTTAACGCATAACTATGAAAAAGACATGCAGATTAACACCTTTAGTCATAGATAGTCACCTGCAATATGGACACCCTCATTCAATTTTGTATCAAAAATCATCATAGAGCCGCGCCGACTTAAAATACGTGAGCTTGCCTAATACAAAAGTTTATTTTATTGAAATTATTTCATTCTTTTTAGAGCGTTTGAAGTCGGTTGTATTTTTTTACAAAAATAAATTATAATCTGCAATAGCTGTAGCTGTTGCATATAATAACTATTGGACTATGTTTATTATATTTAGTACTCTTTGACTTCCTTATGAGAATTCAAATGTTTTTGTTTTACATATGGTTTTCTGTTGTTCATTAATTATTCTGTAAATAAGTTTGACCAATTTAGTACATCATAAAAGTTTCTTCCAGTAAAGTATTCTTTTCATTTCATTCTATTTAACTTGTAACAATAGTATTTTATAACAGGTTATGGGCCCAGACACCCTTATATTGTGTGTTACAGGTTTTAAATAGAATAATTTATTGCTTGAGATAAAATCTTTAGTATGGAATTTGTTATGCAAAAAATGGAATTGCTGCATGGAAAGGACAACTGGGATGATTGGAAATATCTCATGCAAATTAGGCTTAAAGGAATCCCAGATGCATACGAAGCCATTTCTGGTAAAATGGAATTGCCAGAGAAACCTAAAGATGAAACACAAGCTGCAGAAATGAAAGAATACAAAATGAAGATGGATAAGTATAACAAAACACAGTCAGAAGTAATGTTTATGTTAGCATCTTCATTAAGTAAGGAAGTAAGAGCTCAGGTAAGAAACCTAGAAAAACCAGATGAGGTTTGGAAGGAGCTGCATAATCTATTTGCGGAAATTGAGGAAAATAAAGCCTATGATATATGCTCTCTGTTCTTCACCTACAAATGGGATCAACACTTGGATATGGCTGGGAACCTATCTGCAATCAAGTCGTTATGGGTAAAGCTTCAAGAAGAAATTAAGAAAATTCAAGACAAGAAAGAAGATAGTTTACCTCAGATATTGTTGATTTGCAAGATTTTTGAAATCCTACCAGCAGAATATTCCAACTTTCAGACAACATGGTTAATGATTCACAAGGATAAAGCAAGAAACCTCGACAATCTTACAAATTGGCTGTGTACAGAAGCAAGAAAGTTTACTTCAAAGGAAAAAGAGAAAGAAGATACAGCTTTAATGGCAGTCAATAGATCTAATGAAGCCAAAGGTAACTTAGTAGGTCTACAGAAAAACAGCAAGAACAATGATAAAAAGAAAAAGTTTCCATGTCACTATTGTCACAAGAAAGGACATTGGTTGCAAGAGTGTCAGAAATGGATAGCGGATGGAAAACCTGAAAGAAAACATGAAAAGAAAAGCTTGGAAAAAGAATCCAAACAAGCAGCACTAACCATATTAAGCAATTGTGTTTTTCAAACCCAGAATACTACCGCATCACATGATTGGTACGTGGACAGTGGTGCTACCAACCATGTTACGCATTGTAGGGAAATGTTTACTGACTTTGAACAATTTGAGTTACCTCATGCAGTTACAATGGCAAATGGACAACAGACAAGTGCTATTGGTAGAGGAACAATTTGCATGGAAGCAAATTTGGATGGTATTTGGAATTCAGTAAAACTAACCAATGTATGGTATGTACCTGGTATTTTCGCAAACCTATTTTCAGTAACCGCTGCTCAAGATTTAAATGTAAATAGTAAATTTGTATCGACATCCAAGGATTGCACTTTGTTTGATAGAAATGGTAAACCACTCATCAAAGGACATAGAAGTCAAGGCGGAGGCTTGTTTAAATTAGCAGTAAGAAAATCAGTAGACCTCATGGCTGTTATGGAAGGAGTTCCGATTGTTAATCAGTTGCAGTTACTTCATGAACGACTAGGACATCAAAGCAAAACTCATGTACAAGAGTTTGCAAGAAGAGAACTGAACCTTAATCTCAAGCTTGACAATGAGGTATGTGAAGGATGTGCTTATGGGAAAATGCACAGGACACAATTCAGAAGCAGAGATGAACACAGAGCTTCAGTACCTGGTGAAATCGTTCACTCTGATGTTTGTGGACCTTTCTTTGAGTCGATTGGAGGTTCAAAGTACTTTGTATTGTTCAAGGATGACTTTACTCGCTACCGCAGTGTTTATTTTATGAAGACAAAATCTCAAGTTGTAGAGAAGCTGAAGCAGTTTCTTGCAGAAGTCAAAGTCACAGGCCATGTAATATGTAAGTTGAGATGTGATGGAGGAGGTGAATTCGACAATGAAAGTATTAGACGAGTCCTTCAAGTGAATGGAATACAACAGTTGATCACAATGCCATACACACCACAACAGAATGGATCTGCAGAGAGAGAAAATCGGACCATAGTTGAATGTGCAAGGTCAATGATGCATGCTCACGGTGATCTGCCTCAAGGCTTATGGGCTGAATTGATAAACACCGCAGCCTATATTTTGAACAGAACTGCTAAGTCATCAGTTGCCGGAAAGACTCCATATGAATCATGGTTTGGAAAAAGACCTACGATAAAACATTTACGGGTTATCGGGACAGATTGTTTTGTCCATATTCCAAAGCAGAGAAGACGTAAGTTTGACAAGAAAGCGATGAAATGCAAACTTATTGGATATGATGGTAATGATGGATATCGTCTCTGGAATTCATGGAAATGTACTGTCATTCGATCCAGGGATGTAAAATTTTTGAAAGAGCCTATTAGTGAATCCATAGTAAATAGGCCTATACCTTCAGAAGAAAAAGTCCCCGATGAAGCAAAAGATGAGAACTGTTCAGCCCCTGTAGTAGAAAATGTCCCCATTCTCTTTCCTGAAGATGAATCGGAAGAAGATAAATTGACAGACGAGGAAGCAGAACAACATGAAGAAAACGTTGTGCAAACTCGCCAACTCCGAGATAGAGCTATGGTAAGGCAGCCCATTCGTTTTGAAGATTTTGTGATGAGTGCTGTTATGGGGAACACACACTATGAACCTAATACATACATGGAGGCATCGAACTGTGAAGATCATCTC